AACAACAAAACAAAACATATCAAAACCAAACAACACCCCGAAACCAAAATACCTCCCCCTCCCCTTTTATTTCCCACCACGTTCGATCCAAAACCCACTCTAGAAAATGGCCACTGACTACTACCCAACAGTCAAGGGAAGGACTAAAATAACTCTGCATTGAGTCAGTTGGGCAATTCTTGCATGTTATAGGTCAATAAAACCAGAGATAATTGTAATTATACATTTGTCTTTATATTGCTTGTTAGCTAAATATCACATGCAGGGACGGACATTATTAGTTACAATGTCTAACGATTTCCCCAAATCAAAACAATAAAATTTGATTATTGGTGTCGGAAATTGAAGGGTTTCCTCGATCAGGGGTAGAGACTCCAGCATCCTGCTGTGACGTTAATTCGTCCCATTTGTGTACATATTCTAATCGACACAACAAGCACAATAGCCTATTTGGTTATGATAAAACGAGACAGCGTACAAATATCGATATAAACACACGGAATCCCCCAAATAATTCCATTCTTTTGACATTCTCAACATCTTTCCATCTCAATTAACAATTACAGGTAACATTTAAAATACCCTAAATAGAACAACTAAAATAATTTTACAGGATACGTCAATGCAAACTGCCTCTCCTCTTCGAAGCTTTTACAGAAAGAATGATTCCTAATCAATAAATCCTTCAGGAGAATAATACATTGGTACAAAATAACGCACCCAGTATAACGTCCATCGTCACAACACACGCTTCGTAAATTAATCCTATTTGACTGGTTGAATCTTGCAAACGTACAAGTCAAATAAACTACAACCTTACCCACCTCAGCTCCGAGGGGGTGGTGCGTACTGGGGTGCGGTTATTAGGGCCACTGGTTAGCCGATGTATCGTTTTCAGTTCATAATCTCCTAGGGTGGTAGTTAAGCGGAAGGCGAACCGCTGCCAACACCACTTAAATTTGGCATCTGGTTAATTTGATCACAATGGTAATAACAGGCTTGCCTTTGGAGTGGACAATTTGACCCTTTAATGGTGTTCAGTGTATTAGAATCTGCTGTCCGGAACGAAATACAAGGACAATAGATCATGATGGCATCCTAACTGGGATAGGGGGTTGTAAAACCTTACCCTAAGGTATCGTTAAAGCCATTGCAATCAGAGTCTAGTATTGGACATTTGGTCTCACATGGCGAGACAGTAATTGAAATTTTATACGTGCTGGTCAAATGTCCAGTTGTTAACTTTCAAGTCTGAAGGCGATCGTATAAAAGGTTACAATGATATTTAATCCAATTTAATTTTTGAAATCTAATACACATTATGTCACTTGGTACAATGTTACAATTTGCCTTTTGTCTGTTTCCTCAAATGTTCCAGACGGATTATTCTCGGACGTTGACCTTTTGAATGATAACAGATTAACAATATACAGTCGCTTGGATTTTCCTGCTATTGTGCTTGGTAAAATAGGTATAGTTTTGTAAGAGACCGACCACTGGGTATTCTGGAGGGGCTTCGGACTTTGGGTGGGATTATTTATTTATTTTTAATTTTTATTGGTGGGGGGGGGGTATTTCAGGAGATTCTGACAAATGTATTTCGCTCAGGTTTTACAAAATTAGACAGACTGCTTGATGTCCTGAAAAAAGGTGTCGGTTCCATCTTTGAGAAGGCGTCGTGACACATATCCTACCTCTCACAAAGATCCACCCCCTTCCACCCCCCGAATATTAAGTGGCTGGTCACTAATTAGTAGTTGGCTATGAAGTCCATTTGTTAAAGAGGCTGCATCTCGCAATGGTATCCACACTTTGAACTCAATTATTATCCTTGGATTAGTACCACTGCACCACAACTCAGTGTCATCAAAATAGTAATTGTCCTCCAAATATCAAGCTATATATCCCTGTGACCATGGGTTCGAACCCTGTTCCTCCCGATTATGTTTCTTGGTTTGTCAGCACCATAACCGTACACATGAGTTCCAACAAGTGTTAAACGCCAGAGTCGTGCATCACTTCCGGCTTTCCTCCCACATGCCGTGACATAACTGTAACAGAGTTTACAGCGACGTCAAACCCTACTCACTCAAAGCTGTTTAAACCACACTCGTCAGCTGTACTGTTACGAAAGAATATGACAAAGCAGAGATAGCTGTTTAATTGCATCCATCCTAGCGTAATAGATAGTGCCTCATAGTAACGGCGTTGATTAGCGACACCACGTTTTCCATGATTCTAAATATAAAACGTCCAGAGAATAACCAGTCTCAATTTTCTTCATTTAATTGGGCGTAAAAGGCAAATAATTGTGAAAATTGTATTAATGAGTCACTGAAAATCAGTGATGACACCAGGTGTTCACGATAAGGGTAGATCTGTCCTGCTTGGTGTATTTTGCTGATTACATGTTTCCCTCAGAGTCCTACTACAGAGTGCTACTATTATCAAATGGTGATGCCAGCAATATGTACGAACCCTGCGTAAGGCAGAAGACATGCACCGCTTCTATGAGTTCCTCTCACCTTCCTGTGTTTCGCTTCTTAAACAATTAGGCAAATAGTCATACAGTGCGTTATAATTCATTCTATTTTTCCATATCTCGTTACCAACAGTCGCAATCGTGTAATACGAAGGATAATCCAATATTTCAGTACGACCGATCTCTTAACATGAATATAAGATCTTACTATGCCACTTCCTTGGCATGTAAACCAATGACTGCCATGTTAAACGTCCATCACGCTTGTATTGACGAGAAATCGAGCATCATATTTTCATAGATGCTCCAAAGCAATTGGGCCCATGCATTGCCATCCATTAGCCGAGTCACATATGGTAAACAGGGTCAAGCCAAGTTGACCATTGATTCTAATGGTCATACCATTAAGTGTACATTAACAATGTATATCTGTCTCAAAAGCAACAGGTTTAATTGACATGTGAAAAGGATGAAGGATGCAAGAGGAAAATATATGATCGATCTTCTTCTCCTTCAGAATGCTACATGCATATGATACCACAAATCTATCTGTTTCGTTTATGACAGTTTGAAGGAGGATTTGACGCTTTCTTTGATATGGATATTCATGTATAGATCGTGAGGGTGACCGACGCCTCATTAAATATGATATACCATATTAAAATCCAGTTTACACGTGTCCATATGAAGAACATTTGGTGCGCCGATGATTAATTGTAATTTACCATTGAAATTGATATTATAATGACATGAACACACAATCGTTTTCATTTAACAGTGAGAAAAGTTTTCACATACTTTGCTGACTAGAATCCTTCATTTCATTAATTGTGTTCCGACTTTTTAGTAATTTAAAAACTGGTAAGGATTTTGATAATGATTAATAATGTAACATTCATAAAACAATTATCGAATTATCAATTTCTTATATGAGCAGCTATTAGACAAAACTAGGATAGATATCCTCATTTAAGTTATCGTGCGACAGAAACACAAAAGACTTATTCAATTAATATTTTTAAACTAGAATATTTTCTCAACATTGTTTCTGTTCTATGGAATTATATTTCAACATTTATGACACAGAATATTTGTATTGGACAAAAACCTTAACATCAAAACGCATCTATTGTTCATCAAGTACTCCTTTTCAAGGAAAGACGGTCAATTAAGACATCTTTAAATTTTCATGAAAATCTGATCATTTTCTTATCAACGATTGCACATAATCATGAAAGTATTTAAGGCAGTTGTAAATAGCTCAGACTGCTTCTAAGTTTATTTGTATGTCATTAATATTCTCAAGCAAAAGTCTCAAGGAATACTGTATTCGATATATTAAAGTTTTGCTTTCTAAATTATATCAACATTTATCGTGTTACGTCATAGACTTTTAGTTATACTGGTCATAACCCTTTTAACATACTTTGCAATTGTCATAACAAAATCCTTCCTAAACTTTACGTTATGTTGTTTTTGTCCAAAGAAACAAACCAATGGGTGCTACTTGCTTTTCTAAAACGATTGCATAGTCTCTTCAAAAATAAACGAATCCAGAATTCTCTTGACATATTCGTACGTCTTAATAAAACCAACAGGATTGTCCAAGAATGTATATTCTGGTTTCTCGTGATCAGTATTTTTTTCCTCTGAAGGAACTTGGCACAGGGGGATTTGTGTTAGGGGAAAAACGATAGAAGTCTACCCTTACGCTAACATAACCACAACGTTTGAATGAAATATGTTTCGATAAAAGGTGGTGAGTATTCCGTTGAGCAGGTACCCAGATTGGTGTGTCTCACTGCAGCTGCGTTACCTGCATTATTGTGCAAGGGAACACCTTCATATATACCTTCATATCTCGTAGAAGTACATAAAAACGCACGGTATTATGATGTATTAAGTTGTGTATGGTCATTGTTTGGGAGACAAACAGGCGAACATTTATACAATCTAAAATCACACTTGGTATTACTGTTCAAGTTTCCCACCTTTCGTTTCCACTTTTTCATCTGACGTTATTGAAGCATTTTTACAAAAGTAAACACTTCTGTAATGTAAACAATCAGTTAACATCGTCCTTCCACGGGCAACATGGTTCAATGCATACAGCGAATAAATACTTATCTTTGTAAATATTATTTTATTTTTAACTGCTTTTGTTACATATATCAATTGAGATTTTTAAGGAGAACATGCGTTTTTATATTAATATGTGTTACTTAAAATGAAAACTTATTTCTAGAAACAGGGTTATTATAATAAGTACTCATGAGCAGTATTCTTTATTGATTGTTTGTGAACCAGAACAGACACTTATATTGTTGAATATATACCGTATGTGTTTCCTGTAGATATAGAAAAGCTATTGGTAAATCTAAAACATCTACATATATATATATATATATATATATATATATATATATATATATATATATTAACGGCAAACCCTCAGTAACATGAACGATGCCTACGCTGAGGTTATTTCCTGTAACCGAAGAATCACAGAAGAAATAGCTATTGTCAAATTTGTTTTATTTGAGGTAAAGTAAACATTAAACATTCACAATACTGACATGAAGCCACAGTGACATTTTCTCGTTAAAAGACAGCTTACATAACAAAGATATAGCAAGGGAATATGTCAAAATATCAGATGCATTAACAAAAAATAGGATTACGATTTCCAGTTGTTTACACTGAACCGATAAAAACAAACATGCACTACAAATATTCTCGTCTTGTTCAAAAAGAATTCTCGTTGGAGTGATTTCCCTTGATTTGTATCTGAAGGAGTTGTTCCCCTTTATTACCTTCTCGTTTTGAATTCGTGAACAAAACATCCACTTCAATTAAATAGTTATCTTTGTACTCTACAGGACATATACAGCAAAACATTCGATAGAGTTCATGGGTTATTCCACATATTCATATATTCTCGTTATATTTACCCAATAATTCAAGCATCTTTCCATTTTTTACATGGTCGGATAATCACAATGTTAATTTTGATGCTCCATGCATACACATTGAACAGTTTCATGTTATGACAAAGTTGGATGTTCTTTGTTTGATATAACCGTCACCTAATCGTTGTGACAAAAATATACGAATTCGAATTTTATACAGTTCCAAATTGTCATTCAATGCTGACTAAATCTACTTTTGAACGTATGCCTTTGAGCAGTTAAGGTCTGGTAGTTAAATGGCACTCATTTCATTAAATATATTAATTGGAATAAAACATGTTACACTTCATAATACGTTCATCCAGATTGCACAGACACTGTCAACAGAGAGGCCAGTTATATACGATGGTGATAATTGACATTGGACATTTACTAACATATGAAGATTCCCTGTTATCCGCATATATAACAAACAGTCATCAGTGGTACGGGACATCGTTATGATCCCCCGTACATATAATATACATGTAATTCGTTCTTGTCCCTTTCATTTTGAATCAATTTGAATCGTTTCATAACCTTGATAGATTCTGTCTGTGGTTTGGGAAAAATAAATAAGGATGATTTGTCATGGAAATATCTTCACAATAAGATAAAACAAATGAATATGGTGATTAAATACAGGCAGTTGGTTTCTGCGTGGTTTTAAAACTATATTGCCAGCTATTGCTAAGTATAACCAAGGATAGGTTACTGCACGAGCTTCAACCAAAGGCTAACGTGTTTCTGAAGCCTTAAAATGAGTTCAATAAAAGGATATGAAGAAACGTATGCAGGGGAATTAAAGGTAAACAAACATACATGAGTGAATGGCAACATGGAGTTTCTTACGTTCATTCAGTATGAACTAATGGCAATATTTCTCGTTTTGTCTCTTAGACCCTGACATTTTGAGAATAAAATTCAGGGTTCGCACTAGGTCACATATGTGTTTGGGGTTAACGGTCATCTACAGTTTATGATTGTCATACTACAACAAAAAAATCCCAAATCTCATGGTGACGTCATTTATGACGTCATGACGTTTGGCATCAGTTCCTCCCTGCTAATGTCCTCTACTGCAACACAAAGGCATATTTGACGACTGATATTGACACCAACACATGACGTCAGCAGTTTCGGTGTACACAGTTACGTCATATCCGGTGAGATTTTGGTTCTATCACGGCAAAGTTTCATCTTTGGATTTTCAGTTTCAACAGAACCTATGAGGTATCTAGTGATTAACACTTTGTAGGAAACGAACTTGAAAATATCTCCTCAAAATAATACCCGTGTTCACACTTTCGCAATGATATCTATAGTAGATGATCTTCAGTTAGTTCTCAGGCTCTGTATGAGCGAAGATCTGAAGTCGTCTATCGTGTTTTTACCCGTTTAAAATGGCAGCTTACACCTGAACAGTTAGCAATTTCACCTTGAATTTTCATTGCCAGGATCGTCACTTAGATCATCTGAAATATTTTCGAATTTTTTTCCACCTTCGTTCATTTCTTTTATTGCGAGTTTTTCCTTCTTCAATTTCATTCGTCTGTTCTGAAACCATATTTTTATCTGTCTTTCCGTGAGGCATAGCGCATGCGCGATCTCTATCCTTCGTTTCCTTGTAAGGTAGTGATTGAACTGAAATTCTTTCTCAAGTTCCAAAGTTTGATATCGGCTGTACGTCTGGCGGCCTCTTCGACGCTGAGCGGAGTTAGGCCCTGGAAAAGAAGATTTTTTTAAATTAATTTGTATAAATAAACATTGCACCAAAGCATGAATTCAAGGGACATCGTTTCAGGTATAATGTACGACTTATTGACATATTCACACTCATTCACATTCATATAACTGTTACTGTGTATTCATGAAATGATTATACATAATCCGACATTTTCAAATGCGCCATATAACTTGATTTATACTACAACATTTTGGCTATGTGTATCACATTTAAAATCCTGAAGCGTCATCACTAACACAATGAGTGAAACATGCATTTCCAGATGGGTATTCCACATATGTCGTTTATGACCCTGCGACACATATTGTTAATTAAAAGCAATTATAATTCTATTAATATTTAAGAGACTTAATTTTGTAAGAACGCGTAACGTATGCATAAATCTTGACCTGATCCCTTTCAGACGGTCATATTTGCATTCAGATGTGACATTAAGCACTTATATCGTTAAAGAAACATATTATTAAAATCATTCTTAAAGATATGATTATTAAAAGTAGCTTTTGACCTAGAGAAGGGCGTGCTACTCGTGAATCCCCTGGGTATCAATCCCGACATTAACAGTCAGTGATATATAATTTGTAATTTGATATGCCTCATAAAACGGGTATGTCCTTAAAGCACACACTGCTAATTACAATCAATTACATTGATATTTGCCATGTATATTTCATGTGTTTGTTTTCGTTTTCAATTAGCATCCACTGGCATTTCTATAACCGCTGCAGGCCATTATTGACCGACCCCCTACATTGATGGTTTGCTCTGCAATCCGTCCCACCTGCTTGCCGTTCCAGACAAAGATTGACCATCATGTGTAAACTACACCGGAGCCTGGTGGGATGGATGCACATGATCCCGTGAGTGGACACCGGTCAGGCAGTGACCAGAAACAAGATTTATGTTAACTAAGATAAAAAAGAGTGAAATATGGATGTTAGAGGTAAACAATGGTTGGCTTTCGGACGCAGATGATGTCGTGTGGACCATGGGTGTCCGCTTTGAAATTCATTCTTGGACTATTTTCCCCGCCCGGTACACTGGCAATAAATTAGTGCGCATTGTTACAAGCGCGAGGGGGGTGAAGTAGCATTGAGAGATGTATTCATGCACTTCAAAGCCTTTGAAGATTTATATGGCCTTGTATTGTTATTCAAAGAAGTAAAATCAGTGGTCGCTGGCCCAACACTGACTAAAAATAAATACAACAGACAGTATAGCCCTGATCATTTCATAGTGACCAAAACATGTAGCAGAAATTAATTCGATTTATGGGATTTTCTTTGAGTCTGTTAGAAAATAGGAGAAGAATTTGTAAAGGTGGTAATAACCAGCGACGTCCCTCGAGACTGCTGAATATTTTCTGCATTTACAGGAGGACAATAAGTATGATTTTACTGCAGTTTGATGGGTTTTCTGGTAATAAATTGCTATTGTTCGAAGATTTGGAGTCCGAATCACCTGCATCAGTTTGGATACATTGTAAAACTGGTGCTGTCTTTGTTCTTTTCAAAGAGACCATTATATGTTCATGGATTGAGTGTGAGTGTCGTGTACGGATGCGCATTAGAAAAAAAATGAATATATTTTGAACTCGATCCAATCGGAACTTATTATGACGGATTGATGTAATATTTCCCATCCATGTTTTTATATGGTGGAATACATGTTTGTAATGCACACGTATATGTCTATTTGTACAAAGCAGATTAATTGTACTGGATTCGTCTATTAACGCATGTTTTAACGCATTTGTGTAAATTACCAATATTTAATAAACTGCCGGGTAAAAGGGCATAAACTCTTGTTTGATGATGGCTAAAAATATAACAAGCATGATATGGTTATTCGATGGTGATGTATTTGATACGGGTATAATAGTTGTGTTTTTGAACTTAGTTTGCAGTGTTTCGGTGACAGTTTTCAGCCAAGTAATGTTTTCATATCGTTTGCATTTTTTTTATCGAATCCAATTTTAACGTTTATAGTTTCTGTTTCCCGGTAGTTTACATATCAAGATCTTTCGAAACTGTACTATAAAAGGCTTATGTTTGCCAAGCAACATATAATTGAATAAAGTGATCATTGAATGCATGAACACATGTACAAAGAACATTGAATGCTTGTATTAGTCAACAAGAATGCCTCTAAAAAAACTCTAAATGTACCGAATTGTTCAAAGATACCAAAGACATCGTCAAGAACCCACCCAACAAATTCATAACGCAATCTTGTGATCTACCTCCCACCCGGAACAGTTTATGTAAATCGTGTTTTACCTGACATGTCATGGTTGGTGGCCCAGCTCAACGGTGGGCTGGTCGGCGGTAGGTTAACCACAGATGCCTAACGTAATCATCAGTACACATATGTACCTGTATCTGTACCTATCGCGCATCCTCCTATCTTAAAAAAGCCTATCATCAGCTGTTAATTACGAATGTAAGTGACCAGGTGTACCGTTGACTGAATCAGAATTTCAGTTGTATGTCGAAGTGTCATTTTTTTCAGAAGGTCTGAAAGTTCAATGTGACGTGATGCATTGCGTCCATATTTAGAGGTTTATTTCAGTAATATGATCACAGGAGTACGTACATAATAACATTTAGAGATACATTTAAGACAAATAACATGGTCGTTTTTAAACCAACGGTATATTCTCAGCTGGTGTCCTTCCAGAATAAACAGCTCACTGAGATAAGGTATTCTTGCCGTTACACATCAGTAGCTGATTAATTTGAAGCGTATTTGCACAATTTGATAGAATGGAGAACACTTTTTTCCGCGACAGGTTAAATATTGACAGATTAACAGAAAATGATATTCTTCTTCAATCGGATTGTTGTTACATGACGATCATAACCTTTGTGAACGCTCGGCGCCGTTCCTTCAACCGACATTTACCATTAAAGGTAATTATCCTTATCTAAGTTGGTAGGTTGGTTGGTTGTTTAACGCCGCACTCAGGAATATTCCAGCTATATGACGGCGGTCTGTAAATAATCGAGTCTGGACCAGACAATCCAGTGATTAATATCATGAGCATCGACCCACGCAATTGGGATAGATGACATGCATCAACCAAGTCAGCGAGCCTGACCACTCGATCCCGTTAGTCGCCTTTTACGACAAGCATAGTTACCTTTAACGGCAAGCATGGGTTGTGAAGACCTATTCTAACCCGGATCTTCACGGGTACCTTTTCGAAGTAAAGACCTTACACGTCATTCGGCACGTGACGCTAAAGTAAAAAAAACCACCCAGTGTATAAAAGTGATGTATAATCCTTATACAGTGATACTTTACTCTATCACACATCTTACTATGTCATTCTTGTTTACTGATTTGCTCATGTACGACCGGTGGTGGTTTCGTTGAGAATAAACAGAATCTGAAGATGGTAAAGCAACAAGCAGGTTATGCTGCTACAGGAAGATCGACACTGGGACCAATCTGAGATTCGAACCAACAGATATGTGTAAGTCATAATTCAAAGAGTTTAAATTATAAATTAATGCTATAATAAACAACTGTTTATTAGTAAACGGGTCGGAGTTCATATAGTCATAGTTCTATGAGTAATGATCATTGCTCTCTGGTCCAATACATGTACATATTATTTTTCATCACTACAGGATAAATCTACCGGTAGGGCAGGACACGTTTACCTTTTGCGAACACCTGGTGTCATCACTGATTTACAGTCATCAATTCATACCAATTTCACTACTAGATTGGCTTTTACACTCAATATCATCAATTCATACACATTTCACTACTAGATTGGCTTTTACACTCAATAGAATCTGTTTCGGTTGATAATTGTGTTGTTTTAGAATTAATATGCATACGATATGACGAATTAACAGCGTTGCCTCAATGAACTATCTCACATAACATTTATCTATTTCCGTGTTATATGAAATTTATCTGCGTTAAAATAAGAGCAAATCTTCACATACACTGAATAAAACAGCCCATAGACCATCGTTTTGAAAATCTATTTTTCATTCGGCACAATTAACTTAAAAGTATTGCGTGGTTCCGTTGATGGCGCGAAGCGGTAGCGGCAGTGTCTTAGCGGCGGTATGCCTCTCACGTCGCGGCCTGGTATAATACGAGATCATGGCCATATTGACCATGATGGGTTGCAGGCTGGACCATGTGTGACCATGGCTGGACGTCTGATGACCAGGAAGGTTTGGGACTAATGCATCTTGGGTCCAACGCTGACATAAATCTCGGTCGTGATAGCAAGCTGATGAGCCATATTGAAATTCGCGGCATGAAGCGCTTTAATCTGGAGAAAGCCCGTCAGCTCAGGGGTGTCTTCGATCGGATCAACCAGGCCGTGTGACGGATTGGTTTTTGACACACCGCGCTTTTAAAGTCATATATTAAAAACATTCGGAGATAGCTGGATTTTGCCATATTTATCGTTTCTTTCATGCAGAATTGATGTCATTTAAGAAAATTTCTACACAGAGCTTGCTCAGAGTCCAATTTCTCTATATTCAGCATGGAAGGCATATGTTGAAGAGCGCCTGTAATCTTTTAATTTCGGATATTTATTGTTTCTTTCAAAGAGCATTAATTCGACTTAATAGAGGTAGTAATGGACAAAAGTTGGCTAAATGGAACGTCTGGGTTGAAGACGACAGGGAAAAAGTAAATACATTCCGACGCATTGCAACACAATGGAAGCAGCTTATTAAATAAAGACATTCTTTAGCTGTTTAACTATTGGAGTTTACATTTGAACATCAGTTTTGCCTTGGTTTTTTTATTTCTCACATTTGATTTGTTAAAAATGAACATTTTGATTTTTTAGGACATAGAGTGGTTTCTTGATGTAGTCCTCGAAGTAGACTGAACGTAGCCTGTTTCTGATAATCGTGTTTGATGGTGGCAACCGAATTTGGCATCCCGTTTAGATTTCAAGTATATCTTACTCAAACCACACACCTTGTGTACGAC